TCTCCCCATTTGATATTAGCCACTGGTTTCATGTATTTTAAACTACAATCTGGTAGATCTCTTAAAAGTGGTGCCAAAACACCTACAAAACCCAGTGGAACCCTGATTCTACCTCCGGGGATAGCAATAGTACTCCCAAAGTTATCAGCACTAACCCGGCTCAAGTCATCACCAATTCTAGTACGTAACATGTTAGTCAAACCATACAAAACCCTAGAAGCATCATATTTCTGTTCATCAGGAAAATTGAACAGTTCTTGTTGTATCCTCATCCTAAAAAAGTTCATCAAGGACCCATTTTCTTTCCCAGCACCCACAGAAAACAACATTGCAGCTTCCTGCTCGATTTGCTTGAAGATATGATAAGCAGTTACAGCTACACTCATATCAATGGCGCGACCTTCGCTGGTACAGTAGAGAGCTTTACTATGATCACATCTAGTGATTGGAGGAGTAAGCAACCCCTCTTGACATGCTAGATTGTAAACAGGGTTCGCTGAGCATCCCCCTATGATGTGATGAGCGCCCATCTCGGCGATAACATCCCCTAACCAACAAGAATGAATTCTTCCCCCAGGACTATAATAAAGGTTACAAGGATTTTAGTATAGGTAGTAGAGTATAGGTGTCGCGAGTTGTACCGATCTGTTGCTTCGAGAATGGTAAAGTTGCTGATGCCGCATTGATTGAGGCGGTGCGCCGCCGATAGGCCGGCGAGGCCGCCTCCGACAATCAGCACAGCTGGTTCAGGGGCGCATGGATCAATCACGTTCTCTGAGATGGTGCATACTTCGAGGGGTTGTGGCGGCTTGCTGTCGCAATCTGAGCGCCACACTGCCGTTTGATAAATGCAACGTTTTGAAGTTGTATCATTACGAACATTCTGAAATATTAATGTTGTATTAGATTACATACACTATAAATTTGGTAACCTTACAGTTTGGGCGAATTGGGCAACATGGACAAGTTTTTTCTTTAATTTCTGTATACTTAAATTTACTGCAAACATGGCTGAAAGTTACACAATCACAAACGCGCACAAAATTTTATGATGATTT